ATATTTTGACCAAAATCGGCACTTTACTTCCGCGCCCCCCCTTAATGTCTGCATGCAGAATTTACTGTTTAAATGTCTAGCCTTAAGGCCTAGTGAGAACATACAGTCAATATGATTTAACTGAGTGATGACGATGCTCGCATTATTTGGTAAAATAAGGAAGCCTGAATCATGGAATGGATGCTACCTATGATACCTGTGCGTGTGAAAACAAATGCAGTCTTGGGGCATTCTCTACAAGCGGGCAATGAAGGCTAGGCCACGCAAAGCTCACAGGCTGTCCATACGCAGAGAGTGAACAGGACAGGAGAGCAGGTTCCAAAGAGGCAGCCAGTACCAAAAAGGATGGCGTTACGAAGCACGATTAAAAAGTGCACTACAGTTACAGAGACCACAGAAGTTAGGGAAGACGCATGTAACAAAGCAGACATTGGGCGTGTCCTCTCTAACGTACTTTGTCCCAGTGACCATAGGAAAGTTTTTTATGATGTAAAACAAACAATACAAAGTACGAAAAAAACAATAACGACTAGTCTATTACTTGACATATACTGAGTACTTGCAGCGCTAAGCAAAGAGAAAAAAGAAGACACAAACGACACAGACTTGCGCGGACTTCCAGCTGATATTTATTGAAAAGAGAAAATTTCTATTCAAGGAAGCACTGAAATAAACTACAGCGCTGGTCGTCGTGCCGGCAAAACTCTTCAAAAAAGTACTCTAGTAGTGTCATACCTCGATTCTTGCACATTGACCGACTGCACTACATGACTCACTCACACCGCTCAAACTACACAACTTCTTGGCCGATGTTCACCTCCCGTCCTACCCTCCAACACCTCAAGTTTGGTTCCTTCCTGGTTTCACAAACATTCTAAGTAATTAATACTGTGCATAGCGCGTACCAGGCTCCCAGCCAGGGGAAAGAGTTTCGTCTTGCCAGTTCATCTGCGAAAACGGTTGCCTCTAAAAGAGGCACCGCTCGATTTTTCATTCTCGATTTCTCTCTCGATTTCTTGATGTCTCGATTTCTCATCTGTGCTGATTGGCTGTCGTGTGGGTAGAGGGTAAGGGTCCGCCCTGGGCGCCTTTTTATGCTTGTTTTCTTGTTTCATTGCGCTCCCACGAAGAGAACGTTTGGCAGTTTGATTTGACGCTGTCGTATGGAGGTGACGACACGCGTCTGCTTCAGCGCTCATTTGTGACAAAAATAAGTGCTCTGTTACGAATAATACACATCCGGATACGCTTCTGAAACTTTCGATCGCAGCGGAATACGCTAGGCTTCAATGTAGCGCCTTTTTTTGCGTTCGAGCTGCTCAGCGGCACACAACAGCATCGCGGAGTCACATCACTAAAAAACCATCTGCCAAACACGTGTGCATTGAAAAATCGTACTGAATCATAGGAAACATGAGGCAAACTCCCCCACACACGATTGAACACAAAAAAAAAGCACAAGAAAGCACACGGACATGCGCGAACCATCACACAACCATATTGAAACACGAAGTGCCGTCCGCTTTCACGGGTGGAGTGTCAACGCCCTCCCCAAAGAAGCCACTGAAACTGTCGACTCCGCCCAGACGCACTCAACCATTGATAGCGAAGCAACAGGCGGCACCTTTTTTTTTACATTCAGCGGCCATGATAGTACAGTGACGTCCTCTATCGCCTACGTGACACTGCGCGGTGCAAAAAACCTGAGTAATGGTCAACAAGAAACTGGTGCATCTGTCGCAACAGTGCTCCTGCTCATTCCCCACACTTGGTTCAGACCTTTTAGGCGAAACGACAGACTCCTGCAGTTCGACAGGCTCCTTACTCTCTGTTGGCCCCCTGGGACTTCTGGCTGTTTCCCAAACTCAACAGGACATTGAAAGGAGAGTGGTCTCAGATAAGGGAGGACTTTGTGGCTGCAACGACAGCTGAGCTAAACTCCATTCCGAAAGAGGCCTTCTCAGACTGCTTCCAATGACGGCAGCACCACTGTCAAGGACTACTTTGAGGGGTATTAGGTTTCCAACGCTCCAAGTATGCCAGTTTCTTTTTTAGGGGCGAAGCTCCTAAAGGCATGGGTCTGTGCATCCCTTGTATGTATGTACGTGATCGCCTATAGTTCCACCTTTGCCGTAGCATTTTGTTTGCAAGTGCGAAGCCACCTTCGCACTTGCAAACATCCCGTAGTGAGATGTCTGCAAGTGCGAAGTAGTGGGCATTACATGGCCCACTACTTCGCACTTGCAGACATCCCACTACGCCCCATCACCGATTCACCACCTCACCGACCATGAAGCAAATACTGTTGAGAAGTAGCCAATGTGAAATGCAAGGTGGTCCTGTACTTACAGATTAAGAACCAGATTGTCCCACTGTGTCCATCCCTTGTTTGTACGTGGCCGTCTATTGTTCCACCTTTGCAAACTGCCCACTACACCCCATCACTGATCCACCACTTTACCAACCATAAAGCCATTATGATGAAGGGGGAATCGAAGCGATGTATGGCTAACACTGACGAATAATAAAATTACTTGTATAAATATGTACAGTGTTTGTCACGTCTCTGATGATGTAGCGGGCAATATTCGCGGTTTAGCGATGAAACCCTCCAGCGATTCGCTCCCCTCATCATCTTTCACTCCGTGAATATGCTGTAATTTTCTTTTTTGCTTCCACGAAAGGTCACATACTTTTCTAACAGACCTCATATATGATGAAGCACCTATTATGCCCTGTCATTCTGCTCATAAGTGAGGTACTCACTATGCATCTGTAAGAATCTATCCAGTGATTACAACGCCCACTAGAGGGCGCGCCGCCGTTAAGGCGGTGCTCACTTGTAAGTGCACTTGATTTGATTGATATGTAGCGTTTAACGTCCTAAAACTACCATATGATTATGAGAGATGCTGTAGTGGAGGGCTCTGGAAATTTCAACCACCTGGGGTTCATTAACGTGCGCCCAGATCTGAGCACACGGGCAGTATGTGCACTTCTCATGAACGCCCGAAAAGTCAAGGCAGCAAGAGATGCAGAAAGTCAAGGCAGCAAGCGGCGCAGCAGCACGAACTTGCCGCCAAGACTCTGCGATGAGAGCTCGCAAGGCCAAACAGATGCATGATGTCGCCTTAGGCTCTCCGGTGCATTTCATACAGGTGTCACACCTACATCAGAGGCACTTGCATTGCCTTCTCCAACTTTGCCTTCTCGAATACAGCTAATTTAAATATGGAGCTTCATGTTATTAAAATATTGCATTCTGATCAGCACATGTTACAGACGAAAGATACGGCACCCAAAAGTGCCTCAATGCATGGTTATTGGCTGGACTTTCACTCAGAGCACACCTCACCTTCAGTTTAAGCATTTACATGGCCCTTTCCAAGGCATCCACTCCAGGTGAAAGCAGGCCTCTTTTCTGCTCAGCCCGTTTTATTGATTCTATCGATTGGTTAGAGAGTGTTACTGTGTGGCACTCAGGAAAAGCCGCTAGCAAAGCTTCTAAAGGAAAGCTTCATTGCCAGCCAATGAACCAATTTATTTAGAAACCTCTGTGAAGAGTACATTTTGCCGTAAAACCAACCTGCCATTTATGTCACTGCACTGCGACTTTCATGCTGCACCCCGCGTATCTCATTGAACCTGTAATCCATTTCAGGTTGCCCGCACATTATCGCACACTACTACTTTTTCTGCATCCTTCCTTCTTCAAGCAGCCACAGACTGAAACAGCCTTCCCTGGACATCCTCTCATTATCTGTCTTTCAAAACCGTATTATTCATCGAATTCAGAAATTAAAGCTACGTTCACTGCTTATTTTTATCCTAAAAAGGACTCCACCATTTATAAAATTCCCTCCAAGAAAGGGTAACCTTTAAGATAACAAACTGACTTGATAAGCCATGTCTGCACCGTGTGTGGCATGATGACACTGGAGCAGTCTACTGAATAATCCTTGTCCTCGATAATGATGTTGGTGGCCCCAGTGTGTCAGCTGCAAAAACTAGCCTTTCCCTTTTGTGTCTACCAGTTCAGCATAAAACCTGCTGCTCGGGGTTACTGCATAAAATGTTTTACCACACAACATCATGCGACATGACACCACACTAGGTATCGTGTTGGATCACTATTAAGGTTCACGATTCTTCTAGCAGCACAAACACACTTATCCCATCATTCATTCAATGGAAGTCACTTGAGCAGAACTGCCTTCCCAAAAACACTGATAACTATTTTTTAGGTAATGCCTTCAGATCACTGCTAACTAGAATGCAATTTTACTTGCCAACAAGTTATATATGTCTTGTTCTGTTTCCTTTTTTACATTAGTATTTCTTGCATTGATTCTACACCCTGTAATGCCCCTCTTTGACTTTTCTCTCACTGCATTACATTCCTACCAAATTATGCTTTACTGAGGATATGTACTCGTGTTAAGTACCTGCACCTCTGTAGTGCCTCGCCCGTCCAGTGGGGTGCAACATTAATGAAATGTAAGACATCAGGCTGCACGTGTTTTGACGCGACACGACTGCCGGTGGCGGTCACCTGCCGCAGTCTAGCGCGAAAAACATCGATTTTAACACGATGGAACACCAGTATGGCGCAAGCATGGAAGCACCAAAATCCTGCCCGTGTCAGATTCAGAAAGTAACGCCCAGGTTTCTTTTTTCATCGTTTACTTAGGAAAAAACTTGGGTCAAATCGCGGGTTCGGTGGCCACATTGGTTTCGTTAATTCGAGTTAACGAAGACTCCGTACCCCGTGGGGAACAGCAATTTTGTCGTCTGAGTGGGCAGTTGGTAAACTGGAGTTTTTTTAAGCCTGGGTTATTAAGACTGCACTCAGCATCTGTGACGCGATATGTCGCAATGGGTTAATTCGTAAGTCTGATGCATACGTGCACAGGCTACCGTGGGTGTAAAGCGTAGTTCGGGAAAAGCAATGAGGCGCCACTAACAGCCAACCTAAATCGTGGACACTCTGGACAACTTACGGGGTCGTATAGCCGGCTCGAAGGCTTCTGCTTAATCAGGCTGCGGCCCAAGGACATTGCATGTTTCTTCTTCGACATCACTACTCACTCCAAACAATCCACAACACGTGTTTCGATTTTCGAGTGCAATCTTCCGAGTGCGAGAATTGCGGTAGCGGCGGCGCACCACACTAAAATAACGCAGCGAGGGATGACGCTAAATGTAAAACTCAGCTAGAGTGCCTAGAATATTTCTCCTAGTGTCGTGAACGGCCGGCCGAGGGGAAATGGTATGCGATACAGCCGCCAGGTGGCAGTACCGCTCTCTGGCGCGCTGCTTTTTCGGCAAGCTGGGAAGGCAGCAAGCCGGAGCAGACGCTTTGCGTTGAAATTGCAGTGGTGGTTTCATGGCTTAGCACGTCATTGCCCTGTTATCCTGTGTTTTCCATGCAGACTGTAAATAAAGCGTGTGAATTTGAACGAAATGTATGCGAGCTCTCTGCCTTGTTGAGATTTTGTGTCCTCCTGACGTGCCGCCTCTTCATAGATTGGCCGCTCGCGCGTTACCAATGCTACTTTTTAAATTGCGGTAATTAAGGGGTGGCCAACCGGGGGCTCCCAGCGGTACGACTGTTCAACACAAAAAATCACATATTTCTCTCCTGATCCGCGACCACCATTCCCTCCCGTAGGCGCACTTAGTGCCAGCGGCAGGCTCAATTTCGCAGCCGCAACAAAGAAGCAGATCGTCGGCCCTTTTCAGCGAAGCGAGTGCGTCAGTTTCGGTGCTGACATAGTGCTCTTCCACATTTATGCCGCGGCAGTAAGTACTGCAAAGGTACCCATCTGCAGCACCTACTTCCTTGCTTGACGAAAACACTACGTGTTTCAACACGCAGACGTCACCCAGCACTGTATTGTAGTGCCATGCGAAGCACAATGCTTCTGGGTTACTGGGCAAGCAAATTTTGCTGCAAAATGCCGACGGCGGCGTTATGCTGTGAAACGGGTGCGGCGCCTGTGCTGTTTCCTCGCCAGCGGCAGCATCGTCACAGGCCTGGGAAGTCGTGGGTTCATTCGGCGCTTTACGCTTAGCAGGCGGAGCTGTGCAGTCAGCAATATTCCTCTCTTTTCTTTTTCGAGGCACTGGTTTAGTCAGGTAGCGGGGCCATCCGGGAAAATGGTAGGAACGGCGTCCGGCGTTAGCGATGGTCGTTCACGGTCGAATTCGATGTCCTCACCGTTGATGACATGCTTGAAAGTTCTTTGGATGTAGCGATCATCAAAATGACGAGAACACACTACACAAGTTTCGTCTAGAACTTTGTCACCTCTTTTGATGTTTCGCGCCCATTCTTGAAGACGAACAGGGTCTGCCGGAGCCCTGAACAGAGACACCTTCTCTTTGAAAGACTTGTACCCGCCTTTGCACAAAGCACGTTCTTCCTTTTTTTTTTTTTCAGGCATAGTCACACACAATCGCTGCACGAGAATTCACGGCACATATTCGAAACGTAGCGAGAACACGCTTCACCACACAGACAAGTCGCCACCCGACACAACGTTGAAAGGCCTGGCCGGCACGCAAACTGACGCGCCAGTTGCAAGTAGCGCCCCCTAACGCCGAATCCAAATCAATTTCCCAGCCGCCGATGGGGAAGGCGCCTGTTCATGACACTAGGAGAATATTCTAGGCACTCTAACTCAGCTGTGGTGGAAGTGGTGCCAAAAGTGAACTCCTCTTTGTGCTTTTGGTCTTTTTTTTGTTTTTTGCTTTAAATACTTAGGCTCAATTTTACATTTATGTGTTCAACCGTTACAAAAGCAAAACCACAAATCATCACCAACATCAAAATCAGCTAAAGCAACGCCTTTTAGATTTTTGTGCCTGCCGGATGAGCGCAAAACGCCCGTCATCTATAGAGGCGCTGCCTACGTAGGAATGCAGCAGGGGGCCAAACCAAAAAGAATTATCGGTTAAGAGGAAGGTCAAGAAAGCTGAGACCAATATGTAGAGAATTGGCGTAATTAAGAAGTCCGCACTAGAGATCTATTGAACTTTTAAGCAGGAAATTGCCATGGAAAGGATCTATAATAATACTCGGGGTAGTTCTCTACTGTTTGAGGCCAGGACGGGACGCGACATTACATGCCAGCGCCGTTGGATGGATGGTTGGATGAATAAATCGTTGGATAGATCTACAGTGTACTAGAGTGCACTAGATCTACAGTGTACTACAGTGTACTATTCTAGTACACTGTAGATAGATCGATGAATGAATGGATGGATGGATTGATGGGTAGATGAATGAATAGATATACAAATGGGTGGATGAACGAATGAATAACGTATCCATTGGAATGGGCGGTGGCTAGCGCCACAGAGCCGTAATACTTAATTAATCAAAAACTATATTTTTTTTCCCCTTAAATGGTGAGGTTGAGGATTCGTACTTTGCAGTGAAGGCCTTGATTTTCACTAATGGCTTGACTTTAGCCAGCAAACAGATAACCTCCTTCTAGTTAATTCTACCCGCTTAAAGTATATTTTGCCCTCCCTGTCCCTGACCCCAGTGCTTTGAAAAACTCTGCGCCATCATCCTGAACTATAGGGTGGAGCCCTTTACAGAACATTATCAAGTGTTCCGCAGTTTCTTCTTCCTCTCCACACGCACTGCATACTGTGTCTACCCCTTCGTATTTGGCCCGATATGTCCTTGTTCGCAGTACTCCCGTCCTGGCCTCAAACAGTAGAGAACTACCCCGAGTATTATCATAGATCCTTTCCTTGGCTATTTCCTGCTTAAAAGTTCGATAGATCTCTAGTGCGGACTTCTTAATCACGCCAATTCTCCACATGTCGGTCTCTGTTTCCTTCACTTTCTTCTTAACAGATAGTTGTTTTTGGTTTGGCCACCTGCTGTTTTCTAAATACTTACCAGTCGATTTCCTGGTTCGCTTCCTCCATTTTGTATCGACATTCTTCATGTACAAGTAGCTGAGAACCTTCCTTGCCCAATGCTCCTCCCCCATTTCTCTCAATCCCTTCTCAAATTTTATCTTGCTGCTAGCTTCCCTGCCCTCAAATGTTGTCCATCCCATATCACCTTGTACTCAATGATTTGGTGTATTCCCGTGAGCTCCTAAAGCAAGCCTACCTATTCCACGTTGCTTAATTTCTAATCTTGCTTGAACTTCTGATCTCATGCACAAGACTGCATTGCCGAACGTCAGAACAGGAACCATGACCCCTTTCCATGTTCCTCTCACAACATCATACCTATTGTAATTCCACAGTGCCCTATTTTTCATCACTGCTGCATTCATGTTACCTTTAGTCGTCACGTATATTTCGTGTTCCCTCAGGTACTCGGTCCCATTGCTGATCCATACGCCATGTATTTATCTGTTATCTCTAGCGTGACAATTATATCCTAAGCTCACTACCTTCGTTGCCATTGAAAATCATGACTGCTGATTTTTCCTTACTGAATCTAAAATCTAACCTATCTCCCTCATTACCGCAGATGTCCATCAATCTCTGCAAATCTTCCTTGTTGTTGGCCATTAGCACTATATCATCTGCGTACATTAATGCTGGTAGTGCGTGTTCAGTGAGTTTTCCTTGTTTGACGAAAGAGAGGTTGAAGCCAAGTCCACTTTTCTCTAATTTGGCCTCTAATCCTTGTAGGTACATCATGAATAATAAGGGTGACAGAGGACACCCCTGCCTAAGCCCCCGTTTTACCTCTGCGGACTTGGATACCTGTTTTTGCCACTTTGTAACTACCTTGTTACCTTTATAGATACCCTTGAAAAGATTAGTGACTACATCTTCCACGCCTAGTGTGTCCAGTATTCCCCACAATTCCTCTTGAACCACGCTATCATACGCTCCCTTGATATCCAACAATGCTAGCCACAAGGTCCTGTGTTCCTTTTCTGCTATTTCGATGCACTGCGTCAGTGAGAACAGATTGTCTTTCAACTTCCTGTGTTTCCGAAACCCATTCTGCAGTTCCCCCAGCACACCCTCATCCTCTATCCATGCCTGCAGTCTTTCCTTTATAATCTGCATCGCCAGCCTGTAGAGCACTGATGTCACTGTTTTAGGGCGGTAGTTGTTTATGACAGCTTTGTCCCCCTTTCCTTTATAGATCATGCTCATCCTGCTAAGTTTCACCCCGCAGGGGCGCCTGCGCAAGTAGGCGTTTGGTGTGTAGCGACACCACGGACCCGAACTGACGGGGGAGTTTCGGCTCCCTCCCACGCCTAGCCGTGCGTGGCTTTGCCGTGTCCGGGGAAAAGGGGATACTGGGGGTTGAGCCGACACTGGGTGATTGGACAGTTAAGGCCCCCCTGCAGAGGCAACACACCTTTTTGGCCCCGGCTTCACGTAGACGGCACCCCTGGGATGACCCACGCAGGGGAAATCGGCAGTCGCCTTTTCCTATCTCTCTCTCCCTACATCTTTGTCTTTTGTTCTCACTTTACATCTTTCCTGTATTCTCCTCACTTCATTTCACTTCCAATTTTTTCTGGCGGCGAGGGTTAACCTAGTGTAAATATCCAACCTTGGGTAGATATATTAGGTTATAGCGGCCATGTACGGCTGGCACCTGCGCCTCCTTCGCGTCTCGCAGCGTCCCCTTGTTGGGCTTGGTGGTGGGTGGCTGGCATGGCCGCCGAATAAGCTATCAAATTTATGAGAACCCCTAGCCCTCTCACAACTAATCGCCCCTCCAAGAGGTGGCGCACCGATGCAATTTTTGAATTTATTCCAAACAAAAAAGATAACTTCCCGAAGTACCACATTATCCACTGTGAAAGTACAAAAAAGAAAGCTAGAAGCATTTCACCTTTCCTTGTGTCCAAATGTCTCATAGAAACGCTGGGCGCAGGCTACAAGGCCACAAAGACCGCCAGTGGTGACCTGTTACTTGAAATAAAAGAATACGCACAGTACTAGAGACTACATAAACTCACAGCATGTGGGGATCAGCCTATCACAATCACACCGCATTGAACAATGAACACAGTGAAGGGTGTTGTATCAGATGGAGACCTGATGGACCTCTCTGATGATGAACTTCTAAAAGGCTGGAAAGAGGAAAACGTCATTCAGGTGCAGTGTATCAAAATAAGAAGAGAAAATAAGGAAATCCGAACGAAGCACATCATACTAACTTTCGCATCTAGCACCCTCCCCACTGAAA